CTACAGGGTTGCACAATATAGCTAATAGAGTGAAACGTCAAGTCAGACACGATATTTCGGTGAAAAATTATCCGATCATCGCGAAAATCGATAGGGATCATCTTCATAATGACATTGACATACAAAATAAAAATCAAAAGAATCTGTAAAGAATTGTAGCCTGTAGAGTGAGCACGAGCTGCACAATATAGCTAATAGAGTAAAACGTCAGGTCAGACACGATATTTCGGTGAAAAATTATCCGATCATCATGAAAATCGATAGATCATCATGAAAATCAATAGGGATCATCTTCATAACAACATAGACATACAGAATAAAAATCAAAAGAATCTGTAAAGAATTGTAGCCTGTAGAGTGAGCACGAGTTGCACAATATAGCTAATAGAGTAAAACGTCAGGTCAGACACGATATTTCGGTGAAAAATTATCCGATCATCACGAAAATCAATAGGGATCATCTTCATAATGACATTGACATACAAAATAAAAATCAAAAGAATCTGTAAAAAATTGTAGCCTGTAGAGTGAGCACGAGTTGCACAATATAGCTAATAGAGAAAAACGTCAAGTCAGACACGATATTTCGGTGAAAAATTATCCAATCATCATGAAAATCGATAGATCATCATGAAAATCAATAGGGATCATCTTCATAATAACATTGACACACGAAATGTTGATTACAATACACGCCCATCTTACGTGTGGGCGTATAAAAATAAGGAATATTCAAGAGTTTCCAAACTGTCACACCTTATTTCTCAAAAAAAAAAAACAAATGATCAATTTTTGCTGTAAGTATGGTATTTGTCAATGGAGAATTCACACTAACAACAACATTTTATCCAGAATTGGGGGCTAGGCCTGTACGAGAAAGATAAGAAATACCTGTATTCAGTATCAACTGATTCAAACACCTCACCACCTATAGTATTATTATCAGGGTTTAAACAAATCTCTATCATATTATAAACAGCTTGATTTCCCCAGTCAGAATCACGTCGAGCTTTATTAAACAACTTCAAGGCTTCCGTCGGGTTACCAGTATACCTGAATGTAACATAGAAAGGTTAGAGTTAGAATTCTATAGTTCTAGATATAATGTTTCAAGGGGATTGTAAAGATGTTTTCTTAAAGAATATTTGTATACACTGATAGCATCGATTTGCACCTGAAATATTAATAGCAGATTTTGAGACAGTGACGTCATATATAGTTAATCATTTCTAAGATTATAGGAAATTAGATATCTATTTTAAATAGAAACCATAAATGGACTCGGAAAACCAGTAAGCCTGTTTACACTCCTTTATAAGTACCTGAGAGAGATATTGATTAAAACCTATTTTATCATCTCTGTAAATGAGTACAGATAATCAAGGAAAGATTAATGTTAAGAGTTAGCAGTTAGACAGAATCCTTAATTGTGAAACAAAGTTGTTATCCTTGTAAAATATAGTTATTTTTAACATATAAATATTGACTCTGTTACACCTACCATTCGAACAACCCCTTACAATAACTATACCCAGCATCCATGGTTGATCTTGACGATGCTTTTTGGGCAGCCTCCAGGAACTCGGGCACTTGTTCTAATTTTCCAGCACGTCTCAGCAGATCCACGAGTCTAGCTAGAGCATCGTAATTATCTGGAAGTAGGCAGAAATCTTATAAGACCGAAAATGGCTTGAGGCACCAACTTTACAATGGTGTTGGCAAAATAAGCAAATCGTGTCCACACCTGTTTCCTGTGTGTTCGCTACTTTCATTTTTTACTCCATTGTACACTGCAGTGTATACCATTACATTGCACACTGCACCAATTTCCTTATCTCGTCTGTTTGCAGCTTTACACTTTCATGTTTATATTCAAGATAGTCAAGGTGGTAAAAATATTATGATAAAAAACAAACCTGGTCGAATCTGCAACAATTGTTGAAAATGATACATTGCTGAATCTAACTCATTCTTTCTAAACATCAGATCAGCCAACATCTAGTTAGTATACAATTAAATAATAATAGAATATACTGAGTCAACAATATTGGCTTAATGAAGACACCTGGTTAGTAAACAATTAAATAATAATAGAATATACTTTGTCAAAAATATTGGCTTAGTAGAGGGACAGTTGACAAATCCAAAACAGATATAATTTTGGTAAAAGAATAATATTGCTGTCGTCTGCTATAGTAAGAAAGAGATATTTTTGTGTGTGGGGCACGGCAAGCAGTAAAAGCATTATGGGTAATCAATCTCAATTCAAGCAAAAGGAGTTTTTATCAACAGAAAAAACAAACTATGTGCACTCTCTAAAAAGGCTGGTCTGACGAACCAAAACTACATCAAATTTCACAGAAAACAAGTAAAAATTTGCCACAATATCATGAACTTACAATAGTAGCAGCATCATTATCTTTATCACTCTTCAACAATGTCATACATTGATGTTGACAGGCATCAAGATCTTCTGTTATTAAATACAGCCCTGCTAAATCTAACATGACCTGTAACAATATAATAAATAAATAAACCTAGTACTAACAATCAGAACCGCAAATCAAAATCCGAAATACAAACAACATATTGGCGAAGCATTGGTAACAGCTAATGAACTTTTCACATGACATTATAACAATAGAAAGCTAAAGGGGATGGACTGTAGCATAGCTGGTTAGGGCGTTGAAATCTTTTCATGACATCGTTTGCTTAGACAGTCAAAGAAAAATAGTTGTGGGTTCTAATCCTGATCAGCTTGTAAACATCTGTTGAAGTAAATAAGTCATTATTCCAATCAACCCAGCTGTATACAAGCACAAATCTTTGAATTTATTGAAAAATATAATAGTAATAGCCAAAAGCTGATGAGAAAATTAGGCATAGAGTGAGGGCAAGAAGCAAGCTGAAAGGGCCTAATCTTTTTTTACTTATGATCAGTTGGACATCAGGAAACCCATTGGTTGCGTTCCCAGAGCTGATTAGTCTAACTGAGTGCACCAAAAACAACCAGAATGAAACAAGAAGTTAAAATGTGTATATAGAATGGATAACAAAAACAACCAGAATGAAACAAGAAGTTAAAATGTGTATATAGAATGGCTAACAAAAACAACCAGAATGAAACAAGAAGTTAAAATGTGTATATAGAATGGCTAACAAAAACAACCAGAATGAAACAAGAAGTTAAAATGTGTATATAGAATGGATAACAAAAACAACCAGAATGAAACAAGAAGTTAAAATGTGTATATAGAATGGCTAACAAAAACAACCATAATGAAACAAGAAGTTAAAATGTGTATATAGAATGGATAACAAAAACAACCAGAATGAAACAAGAAGTTAAAATGTGTATATAGAATGGATAACAAAAACAACCAGAATGAATCAAGAAGTTAAAATGTGTATATAGAATGGCTAACAAAAACAACCAGAATGAATCAAGAAGTTAAAATGTGTATATAGAATGGATAACAAAAACAACCAGAATGAAACAAAAAGTTAAAATGTATATATAGAATGGATAACAAAAACAACCAGAATGAATCAAGAAGTTAAAATGTGTATATAGAATGGCTAAAGAAGATAGAAATTGTACACATACCTTACTATCATTATCATTATAAACTAGTGCATCTTTATAATATCTTATAGCTTTCTCATAATCACGCTGATTGGATGAATACTGGGCTAGTTGTCTACAAATACTGAAATATTAACCAATCAATGATTGTTATTCAATATACGCAGTGTTTATGACACGCCCACTTAATGATTGACAGGTACAATGCAAATGAAACAGCACAATAAATATCAAAGTTTTGATGAAAAAGATAGATCAACGTAAATATAAGGAATAAATATGGATGTTTTTATCATTATGGAGAAATAAACACTGGTTTATCATGTGACAAGACAAATGACCCTATAAAGTGGATCCTGCAAAGTTTGTTACCACTATTTCTCCATAAAATAACAATATACATAGTTATTCCTTTATTAAAGGGACAGGTAGGCCATTCTTTTTGACCAATAAAACTTTAGTCTCAGTAACAGTATTATCTGCGTTAGAATGTTAAAATGACGACTCATCAATTTAAGATATTCTGTGATATTTAAAGATATATATAAAAATAGTGAGTAAAATTCCTAGTTTGAAGTATTTTTAAAGGAATTATGTGATTTGTGTACATTATCTACCCACCTGGTGCTAATAATAAACAATAATGTCTACAGAAAATAGAAGCCATAAATTTTAAAACCGCTTTACAAATTCAAATAAAAAGTTAAATATTTTATAATAAAACTCACTCTGAAGCTAGCTGTTTTTGATTGTTGTAGGCATCTGGTTGTTCCATCTGTACTCTTTTTAAAACCCTTGGAAAGAAGTCAATTATTATTATCAGTTTGTTTCAGCAGGAGATAGAACTCTCTGGATGAGCAATGGAACACACTGAGAGGCCACGCGATTGGTGAATTCTGCAAGTTCGCAATTCATGGAATGAAGTTCAATAACCACGTCTTCCAACAAAATAATAGGTGCAGACAGAATTCAAAATGGCGTAGACAGGAACAGAAGGGAAAATTTTGAATTCTGATTGAGGCCAGAATTGAAGCAGAGGGAACCAGTTCAGAGCTCGCTAATCGAGGGCTACCTAAATTGGCAGCTAACAGTCTTTCACACAATTGGTATTGTGATGGCTGTGTTGTTAGGGAGTTGGATTGTCGTCTGCTAGGGCAGTGGGATAGTTCAGATAGAGGCTATAACTAGTAAAAGCATCAGAAACAGGCTGAAATAATCTTACCTAGCCTGAGTATCTCGAGCATTGTTTAATGACTCCAGAGCTTCCTCCATCTTTTCTTGTTTGTGATAAACTTTAGCTAATAACGTCAGATATTTCGTATTTTCCATCAGAGTCTCTAAATCTAAAATTAAACATAATAATATCAATCAATAGAAATATAGGTTTCTGGTGAGTTGGGGCAAGAGAATTGTCAAGGGGGTGGGGGATGGGGCCGGTGAGTTATGGCAAGTGAATTGTTAAGGGGGCTGCCAGCAACAGGCATTTAAGATCTCAATTATTAGAAACTTGAGAGTCTAGGGGAAGGGATGGGGCATATTGGGTCAGAGTCAGGCTTAGTTCTTTGGAAGGCATGGCCCCACTCATCACTGTCCATAAAAACGCCAGTGATATGCTATTTTGATATTTCTATTGAAATAATGATATTCTTGCCTCGTATTTTGGAATAAATTACCAATCTCACCTTGTCCTTCTGATTCTAAAGCTTGTTTTAATACTTTCTCAGCCTTATCATACTGTCGTAACCTTAGTAATAACTCAGCTAAATCAAATCGTAAAAACGCTTGTCCACCAGCCTTCAAGGCAGCCTCATAGTAACTTATAGCCTACATTAGAAGATCAGTATAAGTCAAGGGATAAAAAGAAAGAACCATATTTTACAAGGATAACAACTTAGGTTCACGAGGATCCTTTCTACCAGCTGGTATTTGGCCAAACCTCTTGACAATGATCTTACAAGGACTAAAACTTAGATTCACAAGGATTGTTTCTACCAGCTAGTCCTTGGTCAAACCTCTTGACATTGATCTTACCCAGATAATTCAGACCCATTTAGAGCTGGTTTAACTCAAGTCAAGGGGATCAAAAGAAAGACACATCCATTTTTATAAAAAGATAAACCATATAGGTTCCACAGAATCCAAGTATAACATTTTAGTACAAGAGATTTTTTCACTGCCTTTACATTTTTTTGATTTTCGATTGGATTCATCCTTCAATAATAATAAACAATTTCACCAATTTTCGTCTATATCAGTTGATAATTTTACATGAAGTGTTTACGAGCTAAATATTGTCAGACAGGGGCAAAGATTATACGCGTATAAAAAGACAAAAACCTGGGATTGAGCTTACCTTGCCGTAATTATGAGTTTTGACTAAAGCTTGACCTATCTTACTAGCCAGTCCAGCATCCTTGGGGTTCTTCCTCAGAGCAGCTTCATATACTTCTATAGCTTTCTCAGGCTGCAGAATACAAATAGATAGAGTTTTAATTCTGGATTATCCCATCTTATTGTTCTACTGATGGCTCTTGCAGTGTACACTGGGGACCTAGAACCAATACTTGAAATAGTGTGCCATTGAAACTCTACGCAGTGTTCAATGAGGGAAACATCAATGGGATCTAGGTGTTAAGTTATCTATTCTTTCAAACTACATAGGAGTTAAAAGTGCCCAGCCTACAACAGTTTTGTACTCTTTATTAATAGGAATATGATCCTAAAAATACAAGGCTTTTTATCTACTGTATATTTGCGTGTATTGCACATTTTTTTTTACTCTAAAAAAGGGGTGCTAACTGGGAGTACCTACCTCTTGAATACTCATGTAAGCATCCCCTAATAACAAACTTGTATGAGGACTTGGGTACTTATCTACTAGCTCTCTACAAAAGAAATCAAAATTATTGGTCAAAAATACAAACAGATATAATTTTCATATTTTCAAAAGCATAAAGTTCTTAACCAGAAACTGTTTTAAAATCTAGAGATAAGACTCTGGTCACCTATTCTCAAAACGATCTTAGAGCTAGGATATCCTAGGTTCTTAACTTCTAACATTGATTTTGGGACACCCTAGCACTAAGATCATTTCGAGAATACATGGCCTAAAGGGTATCACATGAACATTTTGTGACATCACTCAGTAATATATGTAGACACAGCTTTGGCAACACGAGTATCATGTCATTATGTGGCTACAATCAACCCTGTATCACATGACTTATTTACGTGGCATGTAGAGTGGTGGCTATCGTGCTAGGTTAAAAACGTACCTGTAACACCCAGCATAAAGACGTTTATCTTTTCGATGATTTAAATAAATATCAGCCATCTTTTCACGAGCTTGAACGAAATAAGGTTGATCTGGTGTGATATTACGTAACATTCCGAGAGCCATCTCAATATCATTTCTGGCTAGAGCTAAATCAGAATTAGCGATAGATATCCTCACTTCCTCTGGGGTACCGTTAAACTCGTTGATGGCGTCCTGCATGATCTTGGCAGCTTCATGCTATAAAATATTAAATATAATTTATGACAATTATCATTATGGATTCATATTCCACCTAGACTCCCTCTGACTCATTTTAACTTGGATTGTTGCCTCGTTTTAATTATACTACAATCTCATATTGGGGTATTTAACATAGACAACTGCTTTCTGTGTGAAACTCATAATACCTGTGGACCAAACTGAAAACAGATAACGACTAATCCAGGAAAGATCAATACAAAGAGGTTTGGTCAAGAACCAACTGATAGAAAAAATCCTTTGTGAAGTTGTTATTTGTAAAATTTAGTTGTTTCTTTCTTTGTTTTAAACAGACATGTAGAATATCAACACCAACCTGTTCACCAACAAGTCGATGAGCCTCAGCTAATTCCAGAAATACTGACACCCTATCATTGACACCAATTTCTTTACCTTTCTTCATCGTAGCACTTCCTCTACCTGTTATATTAATCATAGAAATATTATCTCTACCTGTTATATTAATCATAGAAATATTATCTCTACCTGTTATATTAATCATAGAAATATTATCTCTACCTGTTATATTAATCATAGAAATATTATCTCTACCTGTTATAATAATCATAGAAATATTATCTCTACCTGTTATATTAATCATAGAAATATTATCTCTACCTGTTATATTAATCATAGAAATATTATCTCTACCTGTTATATTAATCATAGAAATATTATCTCTACCTGTTATATTAATCATAGAAATATTATCTCTACCTGTTATATTAATCATAGAAATATTATCTCTACCTGTTATATTAATCATAGAAATATTATTTCTACCTGTTATATTAATCATAGAAATATTATCTCTACCTGTTATATTAATCATAGAAATATTATCTCTACCTGCTATATTAATCATAGAAATATTATCTCTACCTGTTATATTAATCATATAAATATTATCTCTACCTGTTATATTAATCATAGAAATATTATCTCTACCTGTTATATTAATCATAGAAATATTATCTCTACCTGTTATATTAATCATAGAAATATTATCTCTACCTGTTATATTA